CCCCAGGGCCTCAAACCAATCGAGTCCTATGAGACTCGTTCGTTCACCCCCTACTACTAATAAGTCTAGTGGACCTTCAAAATTCTTGTATTGTACGTTAAGGGTGGCCTCCCCCTTAACACACACTCTTGAATTTCGAAAATCTGTTAACACAATGTCAGAAGGCCTTAACTTGGCCTGAGTTCCACTACCGGAACAAATCTTCCTAAATGTATGCAAGGAGATAATTGAAAAGGCAGACCCTGTGTCTAGTTCCATAGTAATGGAACCCCTTGTAGCTTCACCTTGAGTGACAGCTTTTTCTTAATGGGCTTGTGTGTGCCTGTCCTGAGGATGCTCCTTCGCGAAGCGCAAAAACCTACCCTATTCTGGCTGGGGACCCTGGTACCTTTCAGGCGCAGTTCTTCCTGAGGTTGTACCTTTCGTCGGCCCAGACACACCGCTGCAATGTGTCCTTGTTTGCCGCATGCCCGGCAGGTAGCGGAGTGGAACTTGCAGTCGGTTCTCCTGTGGCGACCTCCACAGCCGATGCACTTGAGTGGAGCTGAAGAGCTTCCCTTCTGATTTCCTTCCTTCGTGGGGTGGAGACGGTCGACTTCCTCGTCCGGATCCTCCTCGGAGTTCCCTTGGACGTCTTCCTGGTGCACGGATGCAACTTCTGGACTGTTTCTGATCGGCCGCATGTTCTTGACGGCGCCGCCTGCTGCTTCTTCTGCGGTGACTTCTCTTAAGGCATCTTGGAAGGACAATTCTTCTTTAGCAAAAAGCCTCTGTTGTAGATCTCGATGCCTTAAGCTGCACACGAATCGGTCCCTCAGTCGTTCTTCGAGGTCCTTGAACTCGCAGTGCTTGGCGACCTTCCTTAATGCGGCGATGTACTCTCTGGCCGACTCACCGGATCGTTGATCCCTCTGCTCGAAGGTGTGGCGCCATGCGATGACGGACATCTTGGGCTGGAAGTGCTCCTTCAGTAGCTTCTTTAGATCTGCGTAGCTAACAGACTCTACTGGAACAGGTGCTGCAAGGTTTTCTGCGATTTCGAAGGCGTCTTGACAGCAAACACAAAGCAGGGTGGCAGCCTTCAAGCTCTCTTCCCTAACTTGGTTTGCCTTGAAGTAGTTCTCCACCCTTGCTACGTAGGACTCCCACCGTTCTGGATGTGAGACGTCGAACTCCGAAAGCCTTCCAACCTTTGCCATCTTCAGGAGATGGGTCTATCAGCCAGCCTACCCCCGAATGCGCACTGGATTGGCGAGTAGCTGCCGAGTCAACGCCGTTCTGCCGCTCAGGACTCACTTGGGTAAGCTTACACTTCTTCCTTTCCAGGTGATGTAAGGCATCCCACCTTCGTCGCCAGTGTTGAGTCCTTCGCGGAAGGCAAGACACGAGAAGCAGTTGTAGTTCTCAGTTTTCTTTATTCTGTGTTCAGCTTACAAGTAGATGGCTTCAGCAGCTCCCAAAACCTCCCAGCTTCTTATATAGGCATTTCCTGGGTCAATGTGATACTTTTCCGGCGCCAGCACCCGAGCATGCGCACGGCGCTGGCGACAGCCTGTCTGGTCCCGGGCAGCTTTGCACCTGCCCGGGACTGCCTGCAAACGCCCCGAGCCGTTTGCAAGGCTCGGGACATAACAATACTAATGGTATAGAAAGGTACTTTTATCAGAACTAGGTGCTAGCAAAATTTGGGGCCCACTAGATTATGCCTATTGCCTACCATTCTCCTTTCATGACTGTTCTTTTTGCTCCTATGAAGTCGATTTAAACTACATTTGTTCGTCTGTGAATAGCAAGGCTTTTTCTATTTTTCAGAAACACGAGATTATCCAGCTTGCACTGGATAAATGAGGGTTGATGAAGGAAGCAACTCTCTCCTTTTGCCTATAGCTCTTAGTGTTATTTCCCACACTATTCTAAAAGATTTCAGGAGGTACAAGTGCTAAAGTGATGTGTGTGTGTGTGTGTGTGTGTGTGAGAGAGAGAGAGAGAGAGAGAGAGAGAGAGAGAGAGAGAGGGAGGGAGGGAGGGAGGGAGAGAGAGAGAGAGAGGGAGGGAGGGAGGGAGGGAGAACAGATAAAAATAATCTTCTCTTTCTTTGTTGGAGGAGGCTTCTGAACAGCATTCCATTCACTAGAATGGTAGATTCCAATAAAGGAGAATATTTGTAGCTCAGCTTTGAAATGAGGGAAACAAGAACAATAAAAAAAGTAAACAAAACTCCAATCAAGTTAACTGCCAAACAAGCTAACAGTAAACAGACCAACCAAAAAACCTCCAATACTCCTACCAAAACTGATGGGGCAAGCCATTAGAATATAAGCAAACCTCACTCCCTACTAGCATTGATGACATTACCTAGTTTGGGTAATAAAATGTCTGCAAGAAAACAATCAAGCTCAGAGGGCACTAAGGACACCTCAATGATAGATTCAATTTGTTTGCATAATCAATGCTTCTTTTGATGACTTTGGCTTCTGCTTCTGTTCTTTCTTTATTTACTGTTCAAAAATAATTTCACCATATAGTTTCAACTCTAGTGGCTCCTTCGTATTTTTCTGTCTATCACATTACCACTTCTTTCTCCAAAACAGGGGTGTCAAACTGCTGGCCCATGGGCCAGATGCATCATGCCGAAACCACACCTGCCCCATTGCTGGCAATGGAAAAAAAGTCATGATATGTCGTGACATGTCACGTGGCATTGCAAGTTTGACACCCCTGCTCTAAAAGATCATTGATTAATTTCTGTTTCCATATTGTCATTCTCATGGTAAAAAGCAGGAGATAATTGTCCAGTAGCCTTGCATTGTTAGTTTGGATCCAGGCTTCCAAGAAAGAAAGAACAAGTAAGGGGTTATTGTAATGTTTGTTTTTGATAAACATAGCTTAGGTAAAACTTTTGGAAGAACAAAGCTTCTGTATACTTTTATGTTTCTCTGCTCTTGAATTAGTTTATCTAAAAGTTTATCAGCAATTGCTGAAGAAAATAATGAATGTAAAACATGCACCCCTCTTTTCTCAAAATGGAAACAGGAAGCTTAAATAACAACAATAACAATAAAAATAAATAATTTAAACCTGAAGCATATGAGTTAAGGTGCATCACAATTAAGGTGAAATTAAACATATTTTAATCCCCCCAAAACATCCCCCCCAAAGCAAACAAGCAAATATACAGAATGACTGGAGACTAATTAGGCCAATGGCCCTTTCTAAATAATGATGTTCTAAAATCAGTCAATTCTCACATGCCTGTTCATTATTTATAACTGGGTTTCAAATGATGACATGTACCCATCATAGGTTTATTATCTCTGACAGAATAAGGACATCATCTAGTTCTGCCAATTGAAACACATGGCTTTTCCCAGTTACAGTTTTCATCTTCTGGTAGTTATCAAATCTTGAGTAATCAAATGATGAGTGATTAAGTCATGTGCATAAATATGTAAACTATTTATTTAAATGTAATTGAGTTATAATTGATTATGACATGCCTTGTAGAAGATGTACCATGTAATAGGTCTCCCTTGTGTTTACCAGTTCTGAAAATGCTGAGCCTCAAATGTACTTCAGTTTCCTTGAAGAAATGGCATAAAGAAAAGGCTACAATGAAGTCATAGGAATAGGCATATTCCATCTCATCCTCACTGATTCTATCTGATTCTATCTGTGGTAAAACACTCATTAATTTGACTCTATGCTCTATATGTTTCTATGCTGCAAAGAAAAGGCTACCGTATAGCTGTTTACCTTACTATTATCATGTCTTGTGTATGATGATCTTTAGCTAAAGTAAGGTTTATCCTATTTAGGCATACCTTTAGTCTGATAACAGAGAATCTGGTTTTTGATTATTCTGAAAGAGAGAAAATTCAACAATGAACAATTTCTGAAGCACCTTTCTGAGTTTTATTTTTTTAAATCATTATTAAACACTGAAAACTTTCTAGGTAGTGGCATTGCAAACAACAACAAATGAACTGCACTTAAATTGTGACTAAGACTAAATTCAGGAACTTGAATAAAGTGAGTAATTAGACTGGGAGTTATTAAATATTTCTTCCAAACTTTGTCAAGTTATATTCATTCAGAATCAGTCCTGGGTAGTAGTATTAGCACCCACAATTTTTGTTGTTATATTAGTTTCGGATGTTTTTCAATGGTAGATCTCTAAGCAACCATATTACAGTGATTTTTTTTGGTTTCTTCAGAATTTATAATATTCCAGTTTGAAATGAGATGGGATTACAGTGCTGCACTAATTGCTTTTCATTCTTTCTAGATTATGTTATCTCTGAAAAAAACTCTGTAATTCCTTTAAATTTGATATGCTTATATGCATATTTAAAAGTTTATTTTAGTGCTACATATTATTAAACATATAGTATTTTTAAAGAAGTTGGTGAATAGAATATATATTTTAAATCAGTTAAATCCTGAGCTTTTTAAAAGTTATTTAAAAAGACCAAGTACTATCTTTTACTGTTTTTATGTGAGTGTTGTTTTCCCTATTGTTCTTTGTTTTTAAAAGTTTTAATGATTGTAAGCCACCCAGAGTTGTTGGGAGCCCTGCAGCATATAACTTTAATAAATTATTTTGAGTGGAAAATAGAAGCAAAAATTGTGTATAACATTTCCTGCACTCCCACTGCATGTGACCTCACCCTAGATGACATGGGATCTTTCTTTCATCACCTGTACACACATTTTTAAAGTGCCTTTAAAAGATTAGTTGATTAATTATGCTGATTAATTGATGAAAGCTGGAGCTTCATTGCTACAACCATACCAACTAATATGAAAAAGATCTGGGAGAAGAAATGCAATTTTTTTTCTCTTATTCAGCAAACTGATAATAACATGAAGAAAGTCAAGCAATTTTACATGCTTTTCAGCACTTTATACAATTGCCATACCATTTGGCATGCTATTCTCATGTTCCATAATTGCTGAGACCATTCTTTTTAGTGAAAGTTGTCCTTTTTTCTTTTTTATAGATTGGATGATGTGCACAGATGTTGCAGAGGCAAAACTTGAAATGAGCATGTTTGAAACAAAGTCTCCCAAAGCTGTTGGGTCTATGGTCTGCAGCTCCTCCTCCCAAGCACCATAGAAGAACTGGATTGATAGGGCTTGTCCTGTGTTACTGATAACCAAGATTTGATCCATAAAAGTTGGCAGCTTTGTAAGCAATGGGAAAGGAGCAGTTTTACTTTAACTCTAGCCATTGAATCTGAAGAGTAATTGCCACCCTGGAAAGGTAATTACATATGCTATTGTTTATACACATAATAGGTCTGGAATGCATGTTCTGCAGATAGAAAAAAGAAAAAGAAAATCCTGCTTTCAGATTGGGGCAGTACACAATGTATAGTGACAGAATGCCACAAATAGCATTCATACCCTTGCATGTTAATAGGTGATTTCTCTTGGTGTGTGTGTTTAAGGGGGGGGAAAGAAGGGATTTAGAGCACGAAAGGGGAGGGAAGGCAAAAAAGGCTTTTTTATAAAGTACTATGTAAATACAAGTGATTTCCCCCTCTCCCTCGCTCTTCCTAGTTCCTTTTCTCTTGCTGTCTTTCTTTTTAAAAGAATCAAGAAAAATGTTTTTGAAGCTTCAAAGGGATTGCACTGTTCTCTTACCCCATGGGAATATTAATTACTCCCAAACTTTTAAAATTTCTTGAACAATACCATATGTGTTTGTAAAAGAAATTACAGAGAAAGCTTTACTAAAGGGGTCTTGACTTGAATTCGCCTGAAATTGGACTAAACAGTTTGACAGAATATTGGATAGCAGTTTGAAGCATCCTGCTGTGCCTGGAGTGGGACACCCCCCCCCACAGAGAGAGAGAGAGGGAGGGAGGGAGGGAGGGAGGGAGGGAGAGAAAGAGAGAGAGAGAGAGAGAGAGAGAGAGAGAGGGAATTTCATTACCAGACATTCTCTTGCATTTATTATATTTTGATTATTTAAAAGCATTTATTGGAAATAACATATAGATTGCCATGATATGTCCTTTCTGGATGATAAATGTGCCTTTCTAAAGAACAAAATTATATTTACATTGCAAAGAATGCTTCAGAGTATTGTAGGAACAAGAATGGCACAAAGCCAAGAATTCTTTTGTATTTTAATATTGAACCAAGCATTGTTAGGGGCTGAAGCAAATCATCATGGGTTATGCTCTGCTGTGGTGTCCAGTAAATTGCATGACCAACTTGTTAGGCTTGACAAGAGCCCTTTCCTTAACAAAGGCCTCGGCAACTCCTAGCAGCCACGGAATGTCAGAATGAACACATTTCACACACAGATGTGTGACTATAATGGCTGTTAGACGATGCATGTGGTGGAGAAAAGGGGAGGGGGTGGACTGGGCAGGCTAACAGTTAGCAGTAGGGACCCAGCCCTGTTGACCATTTTTAATCAGTTCTTCTGTAAACAATTCAACATTTTCATTGTTCTCCAAAAACTAATAAAGAGAAACAAGCACTTTTCATTCATCTTGAAGTAATTTTCTGTCAGGTTCAAGCCCCTTGTGGCCTACAGCTTGTGCACAGCTAGCTGTGTGATACCACTACTATTTCAATTTATTTTACAAACTCTGACCATTCAAATGTCAGCTAGTGTTCACCAAGCCGGCATCTGAAATTGTGCAGTTAACGAGTTTTACAACACTTCTATCAAGAGAAACTGTTTAGCATAACTGACTCTTAAGGAGTTATTATACCTCTAAAAATCCATTTTAAGGGGCATTATTTAAATAAAATAGAAAAACGGTTCACTGCCTTTTAAAGGGGCTACAAAAAAAGTCCATCAGATCCAGTGCAGTAATCCTCAGCTTAAAGCACTCTCAAGAGCCCTTCTGGGAATTATCAGCATAATGAAATGTTTTGTGAAATGTCCAGATAGATTCCTCTACTCCACAATTTTATGGCACCATATTTATTTTCCACCCATTTTTTTAAAGTGAATTACTTTTCGACAGGATGACTTTACACTCGGCAGATTAACTGAACACATACTATTACCAAGGTTATAGAGTGGAAGGCAGAGCTCTGTTTGCAGCATTGTCTATATAAAACTCTAAGAAAAAGACGGGCCCTTTAAACCACCATAAGGCTTATGCAAATGTGGTGCCTCTTGTACATTATTCCCATACCTTTTAACAATTCTGTTACACAGTTTGTAATCAATCTGTCCTTTGGTTAAATGCCCCCCTGCCCCCAAAGATAAAATGAAACTGCTGAATAAAGAGATATTTCTGGACACTAATGTCAAAAGGAGTAGATCTCGTAAATTAACTATAGCTGCCAATGGCACCAAATTAGTTTAATTATAAATGTCCATAATGGGCAGAGCACAAAATAACCCAAATGTCTTGATAGTTGTAAAAACCACACTAGAAATATAAAAGGCTATAAGGAACTATTTTAAAAGTGTATTCCAGAAAGACAATATATCAATGAAAGCCTTTAGATTTTGGAATACAAATTCTTGTTTTATTATCCTTTGACAAAATGACCTTTATTGGTCATTTTCATAAATACAGAGTAGTTTTATAGTGCAGCTGTGTGTTCCTTGGGGAGCATCCTAGAGTCTATAGATTTATTCAGATTTCCATCAATTTGTCATTTGGCAATTTTGAAGTCAGAAAGAGGGAAAAGTATGCTTGGCAGGGTTGCCATAGGAAATGTCACAAGGGGTCAAAGATCTGTTAGAAATCTTCAAGTTCAACTTGATCACCAAGATGGCTTATATCAGCATGTAATCTATGCCAGCCCTGGAGCTGGTGTGGATTTGTTCCATGCCATTGGTTTTAACTGCTCCCTCTTTCTCTCAAAACAAACAAACAAACAAACATTGCAAAAACTAAACAGGATCAGATGTAGTTAAAATCAGTGCTGCACAATCACATGGGTGGGAAGTTGCAAGACATCCCAGGATTGTAGGTTAAATTGAGAAGTTGAAAAAATATCCTAGATCAGTGGTTCTCAACCTTTTTAATGCCGTGACCCCCAACTGGTTGTAAGTCGAGGACTAACCAACCGGTCGAAAGTCGAGGACTACCCAACTGGTCGTAAGTCGAGGACTTTCCCTGCCCAGGAGTGCCGCACATGCGTGGTGCTGCCCCCTGTGCCGGCCGAGGCGTAGCTGGCAAGCGGCAGAGACGGCGCAGGCTGACCACCGGCTGGGCCACCAGCTGGCCCAGCCCAAGGGAGGTAAGGCACCCACCAGGCCCCACGCGCACCAGCAACCCTCCCTGTGCCCGTCGGCCTCCCACCTCCCACCCCTGGCCTTCTTTTATTTACATTTTTAGTAGTTGCTCAGCAGGGAGGGTGGAAACTTCCAGACAGCTCGCCTTCGCTGCAGACAACTTGCAGCACCATTTGCAGAATGGGACTTTTGGCAGGCTCAGCAGGGCAGAGACAGCCTGGACAATTCCTATTGGCTTTTGAAAGCCAATAGAATTAGACTCTATTCAAGAGAGTCTATTCTATTGGCTTTCAAAAGCCAATAGAATAAAAGGGAGTAGCACAACTAAGGAAAAGGGGAAAAAATGGCGGGCTGCGTTGTTTGGCGACCTCCGTGAAATGGTTGTTTGACTCCAAATGGGGTCCCGACCCACAGATTGAGAGCCACTGTCCTAGATGAAGGCAAAGTCAAATCATTTCTATATTGCTGCCAAGAAAATTACACAAACACATTTGCGAAGGCATCACAAAGAAGGCTTCAAGTCTTTGCTTCTTTCACCTCTGGCAATATTTTATGCCCTCATCACCTCATAATTAAGTTACTGCAAAATGCTCTAGATCAAGGGTCCCCAACCTTGGCAACTTTAAGACTTGTGGACTTTGACTTCCAGATTTCCCCAGCCAGCCAGGTCTTAAAGTTGCTAAGGTTGGGGACCCCTGCTCTAGATGAATTACCTTTGAAGTCTATCTGGAAGCTGCAATTGGTAGTGGAGCATGTGCTAGTAAAAATCAATCTCTCGGAGCTCATTACATTCTGCTTAGACCCGATGTTGATGACCAGTAGACTTCTGAGTGCAAGTCAAAATGTCGGTATTAATTGATCTATGATTTAACACTAGATACCTGCAAGATAGTAATATCCAGCTATAACTGACCATTTAATATGTTCATCATGTGAAAATAGCTTTGGAAGATTAGAAAAACTAAAGGCACTTTTCTTTAATGGCTCCAACAATGTGGAATGGCCTCTTTCTGAATTGTTCCAGAGGTCTTTGGTTGTTGTTGATATTTAATAGTATTAATTTTGTTGTAAGTCGTTATGAATGTGCATGGAGTTGGTGGTATATAAATAAAATAAAGATTTTTCTAGAGATTCTTACTTTGGAATTAGAGTTAGAAATGCTCTGTCAAAAGCAAGATATAAGTAGTAACATTTATTCTGAATTTTTAATAACTAATCACCTTTACCAGGAATAGGTTATGGTATATATTAGAGTCTTATTCCCCCCCTCCCAGTGTTTTCCTGCAATTACAGGGATTCCACTTTTTAAAAATGAACTGAGTGTTGATCCATTAGTTGTGACAGAAATAGACTGATTGGCTTGTTACCTGCCCAAGATCATGGTTAGTGTTAGCAGGCAATGATTCCTTACTATTGGCATTAATTTTGGGCAATCTGAAGAAAGAAAGAAAGAAAGAAAGAAAGAAAGAAAGAAAGAAAGAAAGAAAGAAAGAAAGAAAGAAAGAACACAAGTCGACTTGTGAGATATGAGATAATATGAGATAATTCAGAAATGATAAAAGCACTTACAGTTTATAAATCCTTGAGCATATTATATAAATGAATCGAGCAATTGTTTTAGTTCCCAGAAACTGACAAAGAAACATGATTTCAGCAGGGAATACACAAGTTCAGAGCTCCTTGTCTGCCTGTTCACTAAATGCCAAACCATATTAATTTCCTCCCATTATCCATAGTTTATCATGACTTTGCTAGGTAGCCCTTCTTTTGTCCTTTCTTGATAAAATTAGCTGAAGCTTCATGTATCATAAAAGTTGACAAGACATCCTTTCCGGGCTCTTATAGAATAACACGAGAAAGAAAGAAAAGGTTATGCCTTTTCCTGACCAAAAAATGGATGAGTTACCATCCCTGAGAGACCTGTTATAAGAAAAGGCATGGAATGAGCTCTCAATTCAGATGTTACCTCAGAAACATGAAGTTTAAATGCTCAGGCTACTGTGTATCATTTTCCATCTCCGTCCAATTGCTTTATAATAACATGT